ATAATTGCAAAACGGTCTGAAAGACCGGAGTACATGTGTAATTTGGACGGCAATGAAGCATCTCGAGTGATTAGAAGATCATGGCAGTGCCTGCCACAGTGTGTGGGCTTTCATGCTGCAAAAAGCCAAAGGATTTCAATAGTGTTTTGAAATAATTTGCTGCCATGTCATTATCTTTCATCCATGTGAATATTGAAGTTGCCACAGAAGACAACCTTAGATGGATGTAAAATATATTGAGCAATCATCCTTTCAAAACCGTTAAGATATTCAGCAATGGACAATCCATGTGGTCGATAAATGGTGACGAGACCAACTGACTTTGATTTTGTTATGACCTCAGCATGTAAAGCATCACATGAACTATATTTTATGTTTACAGCAAACAATATCTACATAGAATACCAACACCACCCTATTTTCTAACTGCCCTAGGAATGCCTATAGTATCCGAGTGGAGTTAAATTCCTTTATATTTTGGTTTAAAAGCACACGTTTGGATCATACTAAGCCATAGAAACTCTCACATGAGCCTTACCGGGATTTTTATTCCGGGACCATGGCCGAGGGTCAGTCGGCACTAGGTTCGGACCACTGTCGGCAAATTTCTGGGCCACAACTTTTATAGCTAAAATTTCACTATTTCGTTTTCCATGGGGTTTATGTTGTGGTAGTTCATTAACTATATGTAGATGTTTTATGTTATATGTATAACATTATTTTGAGATTGCATTTGTACCTGAGTTTTTACATTGTTTTTTTCCCACCAAAATGGACGCCATCTTGGAAGTTATCATGATTACGACTTTTTTTATTTATTTTTTTTTTTGTATTTGTACATCTAACATTGTAAACACCAATTACAGGATGACCATAAATATATAAGAATATGATAAAGAACTAGAACATTACATAATAAGCATCAGGGAAACCGAATTTCATGTACACCTTGTTTTGTGGTCATGACAATAAAGTTCTTATCTTATCATATAACATCCTAAAAATTAACTTCCACAAAAAAATGATTGGCGTTCCTGATGCTCATTAATTTTTACTGTTCTTGTTCTCAGATCATTATTATATTGCTTGTGCATGTTGAGCATCGAAAAAATGCATTCAATCAATCAATCAATCATAAATATTTAGACATAACATTATCATAACGTCATCATTCCAATCCAATTTTTAACGAGAGTGAAGAGTAACCGGGTTAGCCACGTTCTTGTTATATTTCATATCCATATCATAATGTAAAGGTGACAAAAAAACATGAACATATTTCCCCATCCCCATCTTAATTAGTCCAAAAAGGGGTTACTAGTTAGGCCATAACATTTCAAGTGCTATAGGCCTATATATAAATAAAATTGCCCGGAAGGCCTAGGAATGGGTATTCTTTCTGAGACACTCAAACTGGGTTGATTACATCCCAAGTATATTTTTGAATATAAAAGTAGGTTATTTATGCGTCTGTGTTAAAGTAGGATAGCTATCGTTCATGAACTGATGATCGTTAACCTATTTCCTATTGTCAATAACTGACTTGCACTTATGCATACGTGACCGACTGTAACTGTATGAGGCATGCATGTTTGGCGCGATACATTGTAAACAAGATCCATGATGTGTTTCCAATGTGCGCATGTGAGGACGTATTGTTTGTGAGCTTAAGATCAGTTGTTGAGCCCCTGTACTAAAGTGAAATTTGTCAGTCAAATCAAAGCAATCCAAGATGGCGATTAAAACTGTTGGCATTGTTGGAGCTGGCGTTAGTGGATTGGTGTCAATTAAAAGCTGTTTGGAGGAAGATTTGCAGCCCATATGTTTTGAAAGGTCTTCAGGGGTTGGTGAGTCGGCTCATTTAATTTTAATGCATTCATACAAGATACAAGGTACAAGATACAAGATAGCTTTATTGTCAAATTAAAATTTGAAATTAGTTTTTCTCATGGCAACAAAAGTTGCCATGAGCTATACAAAAATGTGCTATACAAAAACCCCGTTTTTGTATGACACACATTAATTTAACAAGTTTATATTCTAAAATCATAACACTGTATAGCGGTATCATTCTTTCTGTGAAAGTCATCCTCACCAACCACGTTCGTGAAGCTACTCACGTGACCCCGAGGACAGAAAAAAAATAGTAGTTTGTTATTGTTATGAGCGAAGCTGGTTTTAAAAAGCGTTAAAAATGGTTTGTGATTGAACCTAACATGAAAATAATTATTATTGCCAAATAGATAGATCTCAATGCTACTTATTCACCATCTGTGTCCCCGGTCTGTGACCAAACATTGACAGCAACCTTCAGTCTTACATAGGCTTATACAGTTTACCCATACAGGTATGGAGTTTCAAAATGGCGAGTCTGGTCTTACACGGAGTAATGTCGAGCTGCGCTAATAGGCCTTTTTCACGAATCGGTAGACATCTTGAAGCGATGACAAACATTGCGAATCAGCGGTGCGTAACCAACAGAAATAAGATTAGCTTTTGGGTCAATTACAGTGCAGTAGCACAGGACTTTCGTGTTGTTACTGTTCCAAAGTAGCGATAATATACATATTTCTCTTATTACAAAGTACAAGTTATGTTTTATAAAGAGGTATAGTATAGTAAATCATGTTTTTAACACAGGAAACTCTCATATGGTAACTAAAACAATGCTAGTTCAGAGTATTACTAGTACTAAGCACTGTAATGCATATACCTATTTTAATATAGGGGCCTACTACTGAGATAGGCTTTTATTTTTCAATCTTGATTTCAGAGGTACAACAAATTTTTCAATTTTTTTTTCAATCATATAGTGGTGTAGACTGGTCTTTTAAGAACATTTTTTGGATACGACGCCCCGTTATGGAGTTATGATTTTTTAAACAACATGATGTCAGAAAATCAGCCCAAAAGCTTATCTTAGTGTTACGCACCGCTGATTCGACGCACCGCTGATTCGACGCACCGCTGATTCGCAATGTTTGTCATCACTTCAAGATGTCTATCGATTCCGATAGGCCTTGGTTATTATAATAATTATCGTCGCCATAATCATGAAGCAGAATGCTACGCTTAAAAAATCGAAAAGTATAAGGATATATTATATTCGATATTAGATTCATGTTTCGCGCGAATTCCATGTGTTTATTCTAGGTTGTGATTTACTGTTCCGCCATCACGTAATGCGATCGCCTCAAACTATTTGTCTTGCAATTCATCGACCCGCCCCAAAGGAGAAGTGTGAACGTTCGTAAGGCGGCCCTGGGCCAACTTAAAACAAGCACTGTGAACGAAAATGTCGTTGAGTCGGCCTTAACGTCTTTTAACGTTAGTTTTGATAATCAACTGTTGTAGCAGTCTTTGGTTGCTATCGATATGATCAGTATACTGTGTCCATATTTACATATAGCTGTGCGTATATGCTGGTTTGTGCTCCTGCAGTATGCGTTAGCTCACAGAGCTAGCGACGTTACACATTAGCAGTACAGTATGGATACAATGAATAACTACTCTAATTTCTATTGTGTTAGAAGAACTTGTTTATGATGTTATTTTGATTTACATTTGTCAAAGAAATAAACATTTTTAAAAGCATTTGAGAGAAAATACAGTCAATTTTTGGTCGGTGCAGGCAGGTAAAATTTTGCAATGTTTTCATACATGGGCGGATTTTTTTGGGGGGGGGGGCGCAAAAAAAACCAAAAAAAACTTTTTTTGTTTTTGTATTTTTGGAGATAATTGAATGGATACACAATTCCATAGAGAGGTTGATTCCATTGAAAGGTTGATTCATATCGCGCAATACATAGCTACAAAGACAGTTTTAGCGCAGATGCACCAACATGGAAAACTTTGTGCAATCAATCACTCTCTATCGTGGTCAGCAGGTATGTGCTGTCAGACAACCCCTTGCACAGTGACCACAGTATACTGATTTGTGTGCATATCTCCATTGACAACACCCCTTTAGTAGACTTACTCTTTTAATAAAGTACAGTTTTTGTGTAGACAACATTTGACACTTTTGACGTGTAAGTTTTGCTTCGATCCTTATTGTTTTCAAGTACAGTATAGGTTTAATCATATTGTGTAATTTAAAAGATATACTGTATGAATTAATTGTATAATACTGTTGTCTCTAATTGACATGAAACAGTGGCGTAACAGGTGGGGAGCAGGGGGAAAGACTGGGAGGGGGGTGGCAGATCCCCTGACGATTTTTACCGGGCTGAACTAGCCATCGTATCGGGCTGGGTAATAAGAGAAAAGAAAGAGGGGAGAGGGAGGGAAAGAGAAAGAAGAGGAAGAGAAAAGGAAAGGAAAAAGAAAAAGAGGAGAGACAAGAATAAAAAGGAAGATATCATAATGACCAGACTCACAACACGCTGCAACCTCTTCTCCACTTAACTCCTTTGATCTAAGCTGCCAGATGGCGTAGGCTAACCACCGGTTAACAAGATATCTATCTTTGGAAAATCTTTCCCACCCCCTTATAAATTCCCTTTTCATCCCCTGAAAGTGCCTAAAATTCTCAAATTTCGCGCGCATTTCTTGTCAGAGTAAACCAATTTCCTCTAAAAATTGCACATTTTAGGGATTTGGGATCAATTCCGACGAAATTAGAATTAAAAACAAAAACTTTTTGCGCGCTTCGCGCGCATTGGGTTTTTTAGGGTTATCCTCTTAAGTTATTTAAACACATAATAGTCCCAAACTCAAGAAAGAAAAATTTAAGATAGATCGTTTTAACCTAAAAGAAGGGCCTCAATGTGAATTGATGGTGAAAAAATATGTTTGTAATAAATAAAACCATGATGAAATGCTTATATTTAGTTTCAAACACACGTGTGTGGCCTATATTATAAATAAGATAAGCCCTATGTCGTATTGTTTTCTATATGGGGAGAGGGGGTGGGGTGGGTATGATAAATTACTAACTGGGAAAATTATTGACTTCCCCCCCCCCCAACCGACCCAAGACCCCTGTTACACGCCTGACATGAAACAAAGTAGGCCTGAACTGAACACCTCCACTTCACAGAGCGTCAGAAAGTTGTCAACATGGACAGGGAGGGGAGGTGTCGCACACGGCCCCCCCCCCCCTCTATTTTTTTGCAAAGAAAAAATGACACCCACAGTGTTTAAATCTTCTTTTCCTACCAAAAACACCCTAGGAGAGTGTTATTCATAAATCCACTTGGTGAGAAATAGAATACTTGTAATTTACTCAGTGTTAATACAGTAGCGGATTTTGTTGTTTGACGACTTTTTAACGGTTTTTTTTTTTGTTTTTTTTTTTTTGTAATGCTAATTTATTGTAATAATAATAATAATACTGTTCTATGCATTTTTTAAATTTATTCATTCATTCATAATTCCACAACACAATACAAAAGCAGCAAAACAGCAATATAAATATATCAATATAAATACATATACAAATACATAAACATACACACATACACAAATATACATAAATACACACAAACGTACATAAATACATACATATATACATACATATATATACATATATATATATAACATAAATCAAGGTAGCCGTTAACACTGTTAAATCATATATAAATCATTAAAGAAAGGTAAATACAGTGTTCGAATAAAGGACTTAATAAATACATCGTGTAGCATAACTCTCAACGAATGTAGTCCTGTAAATAAATGATTTATATATGATTTAACAGTGTTAACGGCTACCTTGATTTATGTTATATGCACCTATTTGTTTCTAGCTGTACCTATTGTGTAACGTGCTTCAACAATCTTGATTCCAAAACACTTAAAACATATTATTCTGTTTGTACTTTTCACAGATTCATTTAAACTCAACATAAAGTAAAATCATATACAGTAGTAATAATGATAATAAATTGCTTTAACTCTAATATGTTTAGACAACCTATGTTTAATAAAAAAAAATAAAATAAATAAATCGAAGTAAATGTGTTAATAGTCTTTTGACACTCACTCTCAATTTTCTGCCAGTCGTTTATGTACTAAGTGGTCTTACAAGTTTCCACTCATCATTACATTCGTTTTTTTTGCCGTTAATTACTTCCAAATATTATTCTGCTTGCAAATTGTGTTTTACAAAGTTATTTAAGCCTTTATTTGATGGTGTAACAGCACCACACCTGGCTTTATAAATGTAAAATTTAACTAAAATGATTAGATTATTAACACATTTGTTTTTGTGTCCAAACATAATACATTCTTTTGAGAGAGTATTTTTTAGTTCATTATTACACCATGATTTAATCCTACTTTCTTCAATTGTTTGTACAGTAAATCTCCACAAATTTTCTACGTAAGTGCATTCATGAAAAAGGTGTGTCATAGTTTCTTTGTATTCTCCACAATCCTTAATTTTAATATTCTTCAGAAAAGTATTTGTTGTTAAAATTCTTGCAGTTATTCTGTATTGAAACCATTGATATTTTTTTAACGGTTTTTGGATATTAGTTTTCCTTTTTGCTGATTTTGTGATTTTTATGTTCAATGTTGCTGAGAAACTTCTTTGGGTTTTAATTAACCTTGTTTTTGTTTTGTTGTTTTTGTTTTATTATAGTCCATAATATTTAGGTCAACACAGATTTACAGGTAGTTTCAACAGAACTGAAAACTGAAATAATAACACTGCAGCACCATAAAACATTATAATTTATTATATTTACCAAGGTCAGGCCAATGCTCCTGCAGTATGTTCTATTATTAGTTTGACATTTAATTTTCCCCCAGCAAGTACACAGGATTCACTATTAAGTCAAACATTTAAGTGTTAGATAGTTTCGAAGAGCACCACCAGCTTCTGTTTTTGTTTTGTTGTTGAATTTGGATGGGTATTGGTTCGAATCCGAGGAAAAGTATACTATGAAATGCCATTCAAATAAATAATAAATATGGAATACCATTGGTGCCAAAATGGATTTATTTTTAATAATTTTCACTGATTATGGCAAACTTAGGGACTAGAACTAAACCCAGTTTATGTACAACACTGAAACCAAATCATGTTCCACAGTAATGAGAAAATCATTAAACACATTTCCAAGAATTACGCAAATACTATTGCATTTTTGCATAAAATTGCTACGATATTTAATTTATACGCTCTATTGTAAACCAATATAAACTTTAATTTTAATTTATTAAACTTTTTAAAATTAAGTTTACTAAATAACAAATTCATGAAATAATAAAATAATGTGTTACTTTGTGAACTGAAAAAAGGCTTATTTTAATCGCATTAGTTTGTGGGGTTTTTTTTAACATTTATAAATAGCATAGAGCCTAAACATATCATGTCACTCCTGTAAAAATTTTGAGAATAAATTTCATTGAAATTAACTTTAAAATAGTTCGTAATAATCAACTTAATTAAGTTAATTACCCAAGGCCATGGAATCAGAAGGTATGCAGCTCTGCCAAACTAGCACATAAACTCATCAAAATCAAAACAACCTGTTAAAACTTTACCAGAGTTTCCATTCCTTTTGTTTTTTACCAAGATCACCGCAGTGGCTGTATGTACACACTACAAGCTACAGTACAGTACTTCCTTTTCAGGGCTGCTTGAGAAAGAAAACAGAAAACCGAAGAGCAGTCCCTCTACGCTTTTGCTGTAATTCTAATGGCAATAAACCACCGAGAAGACTTTTAGACGCCAGTGGAAAAGCTATCTGTATGCAGCTACAGAATTATTACCGGTACTGAGGTCGTGTAATACGGGCATACTTGATCAGATTGTTGTTTGCCAGATAATGTTTAATCAGACCTGTTTGTTAATGTTATGATTATTGCAGTCTTTAATTCAATGATTCAATACAACGTACCGTACTCGCGCGAATAAGCGCCCGGGCGCCAAAAATATTTTGTTGCACTTTCTGAGGGGCGCTTATTTAAACGGGGCGCTTATGAAAACACAGTGGAAATTGAGGGGGCGCTTATGGAAATAGATGAAAATCGAGGGGTTCTTATGGGAAATTATTTTAATAATTAAAAATTCAAGAGGCACTTTTTGAATGAAAAAAAGATTATATAAGGACATTACGAATGGTGGTTAGAAAAGATAATCGTCCAGAAAACATGGCTCGTAACAAGAATTCTTGAATATTTACAAAACAGCAAAATAGCAGATGCAATTAGTGGTGGGTAGTGGTTAGCTTGTTGGCCATCGGCCGATTGAGATTAGCAGGATGGCAGGATCATTG